TCCATTCTGATTTTGAACATCAAGACGTCCCTGTTTGCGGGCGGGAGGGGGGTTAAGAGAGGAGAGAGTGAGAGAAAGTGTGTCCCACCGTGCTGTCTGGAGATCCCCGACAAAGTCACCGGGACTCTCTCTCTCTCTCTCTCTCTCTCTCTCTCTCTCTCTCTCTCTCTCTCTCTCTCTCTCTCTCTCTCTCTCTCTCTCTCTCTCTCTCTCTCTCTCTCTCTCTCTCTCTCTCTCTCTCTCTCTCTCTATTTTTTTTTTTTTAACGAATCCCATGGCGTTAGGTAGGAGTGATAATACGAGCATGCACTCCTACCTGACTTATCGGGGCTCCATTCTATTGGTGGGGAGCTGCACCTGCTGGAAATCGGGTCCAGCGTCCCATGAGAAACAATGAAGAACCGAGGTACAGCACAAACTAGGAACCGGGCCCAGCGTCCCTTCTACCGCTTTGTTTTGTTTTTTTCCAAGCCGATAAATCTCTTTACTGTTTTTTTTTTTTTTTTTTAAGGAGTCTTCTTCCATTTCATCCACATCAAATGAACCAAGGCCGGGGTCCTCACAATTCTACCCGGAGTTATCCTGGCAGCCTCAGCCAGTTTAGCTTACGGCCCCAGCCGAACTGTGGGCCAACAATTCACGTACCCTCTTCCCATCCAAAGACAAATGAATACCAGAGCATTCTAAATTACTTCCATCGATCCTTCCAAATAACAGTTGTCTGAGAACCTCGCATTATTGCTAAAGAGACCCCCCCTTCAGCACTACCGTCTAAAGCGACTACCAGGCCTATCCGGCTCGGTGGAACCTTGTGTTCCTTATTACCTGACACTCTCCTAGGTGGTCCACTGTGGCCCTATCAACCGAGTGTCCTAGTTTGATCAATGGCACTCTCTAACCTCCACCCTACCGACCGAGATACCCTGGTCCTTCTAGATTTAGCCCCTCTCTCTACCCACTCTATAGTCTAATCTCTTGCCTACAGATGGTCCTTCAAGAATTCAACCACTTCGACATCACTTGGCCCCTGGAGGTATGAACTCCTGCCAGCTGGTTCCCCTTCGGCCAAGATCTCAAAACCCACCAAAGTTTTCTCTGTGGGCCTCTGCGGCAGTTGACCCTCTTGCGCCAGTCAGCTTGAATGGCTCGCCTCAGACCTCTCTTGATATCGGCCTTAATTTCCACGTCAGAGAGAGGGCGCATTTCAAATCTGGAGCGGTTTCCGTCAGCCCATATGACCGGAACAGATCACCGCCCTGGCCACATGGGCCACATATGGCCAACCCTTCAACCCAGTCTGTTGATCACCCTCAAAGCCTAGTAAAACCCACCGCTCGTTCCAGTCAATCCCCTCTCCCCCCATCCTTCGCCAATGATCGTCACACCATCTCCAAATTCTCCTCAATGTCGGACAGTCTCACCAGAGGTGCTTGGTGGATTCAAATGGCCAAGAGCAGCGGGAGCACTTCAAGCCAGTCTCCATACCTCTGCTCCAGAACCAAACCGTTGAGGGAGTCACCAGCAACGAGAGCATCCACAGCAGGCTAGCATGTTTAGAATCAGGTAGGTTGAGGAGGACCCTCCATAGCTTCAAAAGCTCTTCCTCCCTCCCTTGCAGATCTTCCATAAGTACAGCACTCCACCTAGATATTGCTACTCCCACTGGAGTCCTGTGACGCCCAACCTCATGCCCGACGCGACTTCCTGATCGGAGTGGGATGTGGGCCTGGAAGTGCGAGAAGGGTGTGCCAAGGATTTTTGGGAAAGTGGGGGTGGAGTCCCAGGTCAAAAGTGAGATCTCATGTGGCAAGGTTTCAGGGGCATAGATGCAATAGGGCTAAGGGCGAGTTCCTTCCGGTCTGTTGGCATTCTATGTCGGGCAGCATAAGGCAGATGGCATACGCGGTGCATTCAAGGTCGTCAGATTCGTTTGTTTTGGCGGTGGCGGTTCGGGGAGAGGCCCGCCCGGGATGGTTGTGTTCCCGATGAGTCGGTCCTTTGGGTGCCGGCACGTGGCGTCTGTCGTCGCGCGTTTTGGTGAGGCCCTCTAGTTTTGGGGATTCGTCGGTTACCGCATCGCCGACAATTTCCGCAAGGCGTGCGGGGCCAGTACGGAGCGATGGAATTCCATGGTACCACCGTGAGCTGGTGATACGGGAGGAGGAGACGGAAGGGAGGAAAGTTGGTAACAACAAAGCCGAGGGATATGAAGTAATGGGTGTTGTCCGAAGTGGGCAAATCGGGGCACCTCGGATCGCAGGTGGTCGCACAGTGAAACTCCCTGGGGCACAATCGATTCTCGATCACGCAGGGGAATTTCGGGCGTCTCTGTCGGAGACACTCTCTCACCCAGGGGTCGAAATACTCCGGATCCCACGACGAATCTGAGTCCCTCGAGTATGTCATCTTGTCATCGTGGTGTGATGGAATTCTTCCGCACGTGTCTAATCGGCAGGGGGAATTTCCAGTGTGATATCGAAAATTCCTATCCGTTTAGGTGCGTGGGGAAGGAAAATTTCTGCCTACCCGATGTCGAAGGTGTCAAGTTCGTCAATGGTTGTGAACCGGCGTGCGTGGATACGTGTAGGCTGCGCAGATCAGATCGCTCTTATACGCATCCCCTCGAGGTATTCACTTGTTTCTGGGCAACAGCTACCCAATCATCTAATCACTCCGTGATCCCGTACGCAATCGTTCCTGAGCATGCAAGGTGCAGCAACAACAGTAGTTCAAAAGGGGATAAACAGCAATGGAAGCAGTATTGATGACTACGCAAAAATTCCTACTATGCTCATGAGTGTATCAAAACGACAAGCAAAGGCAAGGATCAGGCGAAAAGACACGCAATAGACATGACATTCATTCATCCATTCATTCGACAAAATACGCAACAAACGAAAATCGCAAAAAACGAGTGTGGGTTGAAACCAAGCCAAGATTCCGAAAACAAAAATGGCAAATCGCCCTGAGCCGAGATCAAAATTTATATACAAAAGCAAAGAGGGGGAAAAAGACAAAGAAAACTGCAAATCCACGTCCATCAACCTCAGCTTCCTCTTCCTCTCTCTCTCTCTCCGATGCGGACAGTCCGTCGTCACGCACCAACCCACGAAGTCGTCACCGTGCTCAGTCCTCCCTCACCCGTCAGGTTCGCCTGCGCCCACAGTCCGTCGTGGCCCGCGTCAACCCCGCGCGTTTGGCACCAGCTCGTCGGGTCGCCCGACTCCCACTTCAACTCACCTCTTACTTCGATCGTGAGCCGACCCTCACTGATCGCGCTACCCCGAGCTTCCAACAGCTGGTTAAGAGAGCTATCTAATCGTGCAGCCGGAATTTATAGTGTGCATGCATGCGCAAAGAACACGGAATTGCAAGGACTTAGAAAGGAGATTAGGAGAGAGAGCGCCTGCGTTCTGCATGGCCAGATCGCGGCGTGGGGGTCGTAGCCACTNGCAAGGACTTAGAAAGGAGATTAGGAGAGAGAGCGCCTGCGTTCTGCATGGCCAGATCGCGGCGTGGGGGTCGTAGCCACTCTCCACGCATCGATTCGAGCATGCAGGCCGCGGGCTGGCTAAACACAACAAGAGAACGCGAGAGCGGGAAAGACGAAGTTCAAGAAGAAAGATACAGTTACAATGGCGCCCGCCCAAAATTACAGTTACACACACGATTGAGGGCGCCGACTAATCAGAGTTCGTTGCAGCCACACAAAGAAGCGCGTAAGCAAAAAGCGCCTCGCGGCAAAAGAAAATCCTAAATTCATAAATTCCTATCTAATGCAGAGACAGCGAAAAACACAAATTTCCAAAAAGAAAGTCCGAAATTCCGAGAGTCATTGGGGCTTGATAAGATTCAAAAAGGACATTCAAAAAGAACGAAGCAAAAATTCCCGCGCGGCCTCCACGCCTAAAATCCAACAACAGAAAACGAAAAGGAACGACATAAACTAATATTATTCGCGCGCTTGTGACGGCGCATCACCCATCAATCATCCCCGGGACTTGCCCGGGCCTGAACCCAACCATCTGAAAAGAGACGATGCAAAAAGACGAAGAAGCGAGGACACTGATACAATTTCCCTTCAATCCCGATCTCCCGTAATTGGCCCATCCTTCCCAGCTTAAGATCCCTCATTGTTATCGCGCAGAAAATCGCGCGGAACAGAAATCAGTTTGTCACATATGTGACGCCCAGGAGGTTCCAATCTTAAGCAAGTTCCTGCTTGCTTGAATCTTGACATGTGTCGATTTCTCTAATCGATCGACACGCGGAGCTTTCCACGTTGCCACTTACCATGTGAAGGAGTGTGGACGTCATCCAACGTGGCATACGGGTACTGTCCTCAGGAGGGCTCTCGTTAATCCAAGGAGGGGATTATTCGTGCCATCGTCGTGGCACGCACACCAATCAACCGATCATCAGTGTCCACCAGGGAGGGGGAAGGGGAGACGATACATGGGGGCATGGCGAGGGGGACGGTTAATTGGGAGCGGGGGTAAGAAACTTTCCATCCTCGCCACCGTTTCCGGAAGCTCCTGATATCGGACGATCCGGTGGAAACGGGGGAAGCGATTACCACTGTGGGGGAGGGAGGCGAGGCAATCGGGATACAGAGTGGCGAAGGTTCGGAAGAGTGCTGCACGGAAATGGTCGTAGTTCTCGCATGCGGGGATAATCCCCGTAATCATGCAATAGACTTCGATGATATTGTGGCCTCGCCACGTGGCACTGAAGAGAAGGGCGTGAAGGCAGAAGTCGGGGATGGTGCACCGAGTCGAGGGATGGGGGTGAACACTAACAACGAGGCGAGTAGCGTAGAAGAATCGGAAGGTATCGATGGGGACGGGGTTACGGGGGAAGGTGACACAGGTGGTAATTTGGCGGAGGGTGAGATGGTCAAGGGGACGGCGGGATAACGACCGGGGACGAAGCCCGATGGCGCGCATCAGTACGGGCTCGAACTGGTGGACGGTCGGAGGTGGAGGGGGAGGGGGATCGACTTCGTCGCCGCCTTGTCGGTGCGCTCGAAGTCTCAGCCACTCGGTCTCCATCTTCGGGTTTGGGCGGCTTCGGATCTCGGGCCGGATCGTCGGCAATCTGCAGATTTGCTCCGTTGGTGAATTCCAGCTGTCGCTTTCCGGCCGCGATCTCCTCTCTCTTGCGCGCCGCCTTAGGGTTCTCTGCCTGAGCGTCCGTTTGTTCCGCCTCCTCCGCCGAGATCTCCCACTCAGATTCTTCCAGCTCTAGCTCTTCCTCTTCTTCGCCTTGCTCTTCTTCTTCTTCCTCCTCACTTTGCTCCCCCTCACTATGTTCCCTATAACTCCCCTTTTCCGGTGTCTCTTCCTCGTCGTCCTCCTGAGCAGCTTCTTCTTCTTCTTCTTTTTCTTCTTCTTCGATCGCTAACTCCTCGTCTTCAAAGGACGTTTGATCCTGGAAGAAAGCGAGGTCGATTATCTCTCGTGGGTCTAGATATCCCCGGTGCAATGGCGGGTTGCGGCCGCTTCCCGACTCCTCCAAGCACGCTGACCACTGAAGGTACGGCGTCAGCGTTCGTGTGAGGACGTGCGGGACCGGGCTCTCGTCGCTCTGCGAGACGATCTCAAGGGGGAGATCGTCAACCAACTGCGCGAGAGGAACTGTGAGCTCCTGCACGATCAGCTGGCGATGGTCAGGCCGCACCGATCCGAACAGGAATCCGAGAAGATCGCCCTCCACGTCCGTCCTCCAAGCCTGGATGATCAGCAACTCCAGGTACTCGAACCAAGCGCGATGCCCTTCGTCCCTGGTCCACGTGAGTCGTACTCCGACCAGGCAGACCGAAAGATCGACGAAGTGTTCACACCAGAGCCTCCACTGCCTTGGATCGAGAAGGGGGACAGCGAGCGGCTCCATACAGAAATAGAAGCGAGGGTGAAGACCAAACTACCAAAAGGTGGAAAAGAGAGATGGAAGGGCAAAGGTGGAGAGTTGGGAGTGGTTCATTGGGGACGCTGAAAGGGGATAAGTTCCGGAAGCACCACCGCCGGCTCGTGCTGGGATGCTCAACTCCCACCAAAATTGATGTCGTCCGTAGGGACAAGATTGTCCCCGTGGCGCGTGAGCCAGTGGTTCCACTCCGCGGCTAACTGTTGTCCCCACTCCCTCAGTAACGTCCGGATATTTGTATGTCGCAGCGGACTGATCGTGCTGATATCTCCGCTGAAGCCGACAATTGTGGACACGTGGATGATCCCTGGTGTTGACCGCCGATGGACAACTACTACCTCTTCCAGCACAACCGCCTGGTGACTGCCCGCGAATCGGAACTCGGCTGCTGCATATACCCCCGAAGTGCAGAAGAATTGCGCGAGTCGTAGAAGATCCAGGTTGAACCGCGGATGATGAACCTGCCGAATCGCTGAGATGTAGCCTTGTGGCGCTAGCAGATGATCGCCGAGAGCTCGCTCTGTAAGAAAACTCATGGCGATGGTGGCGGGGACGGAGTATGGGAAAAGGCGAGAGATGCAGGGGAGGAAGAAAGCGAAGGAAAGTCGTCGTCTTCTTCTGTAGCCAAGGAAGAGGAAAAGGGTGCAGGAGATGGGGAGGAAGGGAGGGGACGTAGATAGGACACGTGGGGTACGATCGGCCGAGCCGATCGGCTCCCTGAGACCTCTGGCACTAGGCGCACCATGTTCACTCCGTTCGGGCCGAGCTCGATCACGTGAAATCGCCCGAAGAATCGTGGCACTATCTTCCCTTAGCGAGCACATTTCCTCACCTGCAATAAGTCCCCTAATTTATACTGGGGCCGCGGACCCGCGTTCCCGTTCCGGGCCTCGTAACTGCGAACCTGTCGGTCGTGGGCCAACTCGGTCATTTTCTGTCATTTTCGGGCCAATCGAGGCAGGGACCTTTCCATCAATTCCATGTGTCGATTGGCCTTGTCTCGAACCGTGGCCCTGGTGGGCCGTCGGTTCAACGAAGATTCGTCCGGGAGGCTTGGTATTGAAACGCAGGCCACGCTATTGGTCCTCAATTGAAAAGGGCCCAGGTCCGTCAATTCGTGGGGCATCCCTCGAAGGACCGCCAGGATGTGATCTACGATATCAGGCCGGGGCCTGGAGTCCCGCGCCGCGATATTGCGTCGTAGCGCAGTCTTTATTACCCTATTTGCATTTTCTACCAGCCCATTAGATTGCGACATATGGGGTGCGGTATTCCGGTTAGCGACGCCGTGTACGACCAGATTCCTCAAGACTTCTCCCCTGAATTCTACCCTATTATCGGTCAGAATTTCCTCTGTGTCCTGGTGCATCCCTAAAAACCGATTGACGTATCGCGCAATTTCGGCCGCCTGTCGCGTACGACAGGGATACGCCTCGATCCATTTCAAAAAATGGTCCATGAACACGAGTAGGATTGAATATTCACAGCTACTGGGTCCAAGGGGCACCACAATATCGGTGGTATCCATGCTAACCCTTTGAAAAGCCCGCTCAACTACCGTCGGTACTATTAATCTTGGCGACTGAATCGGTGCCTTGTCAGCAGCGCAGACCTGACAGTTCGCGACGATGAACTTCACATCGTCACGAATATTGGACCAGTACCACTCATTTTTGTCGATTGCCGACTCCGTAATCCGTACGGCAAAATGGGCAGCCGTTTCCTCAGGTGCTGTCTTCACCCAGTCATACCTCATGAACGGGTATGGCACCACCATCCAAATCCCACTACCATCCGTTTTCCGTTTTTCCAACCGTCCCTCATTCCAGTGGCAGTCCCGAGCCCTTTCATTGGCCCTCCTCCGATCTTCCTTGGTGACGTCCTGGAGGGGGTTACCTACTAGGGTGGCAATCAAGGCGATATTCGTTCATACCTCGGCCCTTCTAAACCTCCGGGTCTTTTCCAACCCTTCAGACGTGGCGTCCAGAAAGCGAGCCTCAGTCGGGATCTTATCAACCCGACACAAGGTGCACAGCCAAGGCTTACTATCATTTCGGTATTGGATCCACGAGTTGCGGGCTCGTGCGACACACTGTCGACAATCTATCCATTCCGCATATCCCTCCCCGCTAGGGCGCATAAAGACCGAGAAATTGCTTCACAAAAATAACAAAATTTATCAGGCACGGAGAGGAGAGATGAGGAGGAGAAGGGAGAAAGGGGAGTTGTAGGGTTACTTCCGTCACCCATGGTCACCTGCCTGCTTCTTGCCATGTGGAAGGACTGCTACTTGTTCGTACTTGGGTTCGTTCGCCGATTCCGGTTCCTTCCACGGGATGATCTCTTCCGCCTTTGGCACTTTAGCGGGTCGATGCAGACGTGCAAGCCCGTCCGCGTTGCCGTGCCTCTCCGTCTTTCGATAGATGATGTCGAAGTCGTATTCCTGTAGGCGCACCGCCCAACGTCCAATCATGCCCGTGTAGTTAGTGAGTCGCTTCAGCGCCAGCAAGGGCTCGTGATCAGTGACAAGGAGGAACTTTTGTCCGTACAGATACGGATGGAAATGTTGGATTCCCCACACTACTGCGTAGCATTCGCCCTGCGGGGCTGAGCTCGTCTGGTACTGTTCGTGACGCATATTCGATGACATGTTCATGGCCATCGTTCCCCTTCTGCGCTAAAATAGCGGAAATAACCTCCGGCTGCCAGTCCGTGATGAGAATGAACTGCTTCGCGGGGTCCGGTCGGATCAAAATAGGCGTCGTTGGTAGAGCTTCCTTGAGGGTCGCAAAGGCCTGTTCGCACCCTGCGTCCCAACTGAGGGGCTGGTCCTTCTGTAACAAGTTCGTTAAGGGTCGTGCAATCGCGGCGAAGCCCTTGATGAAACGATGATAGTACGAGGCTAACCCCAAGAAGGCTCGAACCTGCGTCAGTGACGTGGGAACAGGAGCTTCCTTCACCGCCGCGACCTTTCTCGAGTCAGGCCGCAGTCCTCCACGTGTCACGACGTAGCCCAAGAACGAAATTTCCGAAAGGAATAATTTGCTCTTTTCAAGCGCAATCTTGAATCCGGCGTCTCTCAGAGCACCCAACGTCCACTCGATATGCTGCGCATGATCATGATAGGTCTCTGAATAGACCAGGATGTCGTCCATGTACACAATGACGCAAAAGTTGATCATTCCCTGCGTTAACCGTGTCTTGTTGACGAAGTTCTCAAAAATGACGTTCATGACTCGCTGAAACGTGGCCGGCGCATTGCAAATCCCCATCGGGCACCGAACCCACTGCCACATGCCCTCAAACAGTACGAAGGCCATCTTCGACCGATCTTCCTCCTTAACCAGAATGCGATGGAAGCCCTGCCGAATATCAAACTTACTGAAATAATTAGCACATCCAATCGCATCCAACAAATCATCAATCCGGGGGAGGGGATACACATCTTTGATCGCGATGTCATTCAGTTTACGATAATCAATGCGTATGCGAATCGATCCGTTCTTTTTCGGTACTAATACTACCGGAAACGACCATGGCCCGGTGGCAGGTTCGATCCAACCGCTTGCTTCAAATTCTCGAATCCGCTCGAGAGCCTTTCTCCGTTCTACCAGGGAATATCTGTAAGGTTTACAGTGAATTGGGGAGTGATTTCCTGTCTGGATCTCGTGTTGTATGACTAACAACAGTCCAATGTTTGTGTCCGTCATACTAATCGCTCCTTTGTACTCCTTTAGAATGTTTGCGATTAGGTGATGAATCTCATCAGGTACATATCGAGGTATGTGCAACTCATACGACTCATCCCATATCCTCACATCGATGTGTTTTGTATCCACCCGCCTGGCATTTTCTGGCGTGGGCGCGGAGATGAATGAGTTATCTGATCGCCAGGAGAACACCGTGGCCATCATCTGTGCATCTTGTTCTCGGATGGCCATGTGTTCTTCAGGTGTTACCCCGTCTCGAATGTCTTGCCATGGCACAGGTTTCGTTGCAATCTTGATCCCGAGCCCGTTCTCAAGGCGCTCAGGGGGTTCCAAAGAGTTGATTTTTTCCCCCAATCGTAACAATCGAATTTCTTTTGCGGGTGTCAACAGAGACTTCGGGAGATCCGTGATATCGCAGTAGTGCCTTTTGTCATTATATCAGGCGAGAAGAGAGGAGATCCCTTCGTACAGGGTTCGAGGGGGTTCCGAAGAATAGACCATCCTTGAAATATGTACGAGAGGTTCTCCCATAATCATAACCTGTGTTCTTTGTAAATCTTTGTTAGCCCTGCTCAACGCTTTATCATTTGTCCGTTGCATGGGGTAATGGATACGTTCTCGTGCCATCTCCAGGATTACGGGATCATCATCATCATCACTGTTGTTTGCATCCTTGGATATCTGCCCGTTGTCCCAGGTAATCATGCGAAGTGTCCCCGTCATCACGGGAGAAACTCGTGGGGTTATGTTAGCGGTAGTACGAAGGGTCAGTCTCATTGGTACAACATAGGGTTTCCCACCCGTATTTCGAAGGACAATCGATCGTCTTTCGAAGTCCAGATTAGCTCCTAGTGCTACCAGGGCGGGAAGGCCAAAAAGAACGTCGTAAGTGTTGACATCTAATACTACGACGTTACCCAAAGCATGCACCTTTCCTAATCGAAAAGCAACATTCGTCATTCGTCCCACTGTTTTGATTTTTTCTTCATCTGCCGAGACGAGCTGATCTTTTTCTGTGAGCATGATCAGATCGTTCTTTCTTCCCACTCTCTCCACTACCCGTAATGAAATAGCCAACACAGCAACTCCTGAATCGATGATAGCATTATATGGAATTCCCCATACCTCAGTGTCGCATTCCGCGGATTTCCATGGGATGGGTTTAATCCGCAGGAAGTGATCATTTTTTTGGATTAGTCCTATGCGTATGGGATCAGAAGTACCTGCCGCATTTTCGTCCGGTGTTGGTCCTTTTGTTTTCGTGTTTGTCGTTCGGGTACGGGCAAATCGTTTTCGGTTTGCTTTGCAGTGCTGCAGCATTCGTTCGTTATCTTGTTCCGATATTGAGAGCAGATGACCGATAAGAAGGGGGATTCGGTGATCTAAGGCTCGTAGGATGTTCAAAACATCGATTTCCCCCGTGACGAAGGTGGGTCCTCCCGACTTCATCTTTCCTGGAGAAGGTCGCCACTCCGCCACTTCTCGTTGTTCCGGCGCGGGTCTAATCGTACCGATCATCCCAAGCCCCGGGTATCCCAGTGTTACATACTGATCCAAGGGAATAAGCTCTGCAGCCTCCTCCATTGATGCGAACGTGGTTCCGCTTCCCTCTACTTCTTCCATCAATGCTCCTACCCGTCCCGGCCCGTTAGTGATTGGTGCTGCAGCTACTGGTGCGGCTCCGACTCATTGTTGCGGGGGCTGGTGAGGGCAATCCCGGGCTATGTGCCCTGGTTAGTGACACGTGTAGCAGACATTAAGATTGCCCGGGATCCCGACAGGAGGCGGTGCCGGACCCAATCCGTGTTGGATTGGCGCGGCACGCACTGCGATGGGTCGCATCGATCTCATCATCGCCTCAATTCGACATTGTATTCCCGCTGCTCCTTTTTACTCTCCTGAATCAAACTAACCAATGTTTTGGTTAGTTCGAGCAAGGCGGAAGACTCATTCGGTCGTGAGGGGGTTTCGATCAGGGGTGGGGGCACTGTCATCACGGGAGCGGGTACGTTTGCAATCACACTTGGAACCGATCGTTTAGGGGTGATCTGCTCTAGATAGGTAACCGGGCCAGATACAAATCCCATGTTTTCGAATTTGTTTTGCAACGCGGCCAGCTCAGCCTTAGTCCTGTCTAGTTCAGACGAGTCTCCTTCCCTAGGGAAATATTCCCCTTCTAGGAAACTCGCAGCAAACTTTCGCTCCATCTCTTCTGCAGCGGCCATGATCTGTTCCAGCGTGTGATTGATGGGGGAGAACTGTTTTCGCAGTTTCGCTCTCATCCTTCGGCTGCGAAGTCTATCAATGAACAAATCTCTTCCTACTTGCTCGCCTCGCTCCGTTTTTAAGAACATTCGGTAGAACCGGTTTCGATATTCCGTAACAGATTCAAGAGGTTCTTGAACTCGATCTTTAATCATAAAGAGCGCTTGTTCTGGATGGATATAATCGAACCGATTCATAAAATCTCGCTCGAAAGTTGGAAGATCCACCCATACATAGGTACTAAACCAATGATTGGCGTCCCCGCCTAATCGAGCGGGAATGTTCACCTGAGCTTCGTTATCGTCATACTGCTGAGCGCGGAGCATGGCTAGCCATGCTCCAGCAAGATGATGCGCAGGATCAAACAGATAGAGGTCAAGGGGCGTCATGGGAGCCTGTGCTCGTGGTGGGGGTTGATTAGGATTCTGTTGGGGGTTCGGGTTTTGTTGGGGGTTCGGCTGATTAGCATTTATATTGACAGTCCGTCGAGCCGGAGACCGGCTTCTAGTGACGACGGGATCGCGTCGGTGCGCATTCCGGGGTCGAGGTCGTCCTCTGTTAGCCAGATCGCCCAGCTACGAGTCCTAGAACCCTGTCACGTGTCGGGCTCCGATACCAACCTCACGCCCGATGCGACTTCCTGATCGGAGTGGGATGTGGGCTTGGAAGTGCGAGAAGGGGTGTGCCAAGGATTTTTGGGAAAGTGGGGGTGGAGTCCCAGGTCAGAACTGAGATCTCCTGTGGCAAGGTTTCAGGGGCATAGATGCGATAGGGCTAAGGGCGAGTTCCTTCCGGTCTGTTGGCGTTCTATGTCGGGCAGCATAAGGCAGATGGCATGCGCGGTGCATTCAAGGTCGTCCGATTCGTCTATTTTGGCGGTGGCGGTTTGGGGAGAGGCCCGCCCGGGATAGTTGTGTTCCCGATGAGTCGGTCCTTTGGGTGCTGGCACGTGGTGTCTGTCGTCGCGCGTTTTGGTCAGGCCCTCTAGTTTCGGGGGCTCGTCGGTTACAGCGTCGCCGGCAATTTCCACAAGGCGTGCGGGGCCAGTACGAAGCGATGGAATTCCATGGTACCACCGTGAGTTGGTGATACGGGAGGAGGAGACGGAAGGGAGGGAAGTTGGTAGCGATAACAACGAAGCCGGGGGATATGAAGTAATGGGTGTTGTCCAAAGTGGGAAAATCGGGGCACCTCGGATCGTTGGTGGTGGCACAGTGAAACTCCCTGGGGCACAATCGATTCTCGATCACGCAGGGGAATTTCGGGCGTCTCTGTTTGAGACACTCTCTCACCCATGGGTCGAAATACTCCGGATCCCACGACGAATCTGAGTCCCTCGAGTATGTCATCTTGTCATCGCGGTGTGATGGAACTCTTCCGCACGTGTCTAATCGGCAGGGGGAATTTCCGGTGTGATATTGGAAATTCCTATCCGTTTAGGTGCGTGGGGGAAGGAAAATTCCCGCCTACCCGATGTCAAAGGTGTCATTTTCGTCAATGGTTGCGAATCGGCCCGCGTGGATACGCGTAGGCTGCGCAAATCAAATCGCGCTGACACGCATCCCCGCGAGGTATTTGCTTGTTTCTGGACAACAATTACCCAATCATCTAATCACTCCGTGATCCCGTACGCAATCGTTCCCGAGCATGCAAGGTGCAGCAACAACAGTAGTTCAAAAAGGGATAAACAGCAATGGAAGCAATATTAATGACTACGCAAAAATTCCTACTATGCTTACGAGTGTATCAAAACGACAAGCAAAGGCAAGGATCAGGCGAAAAGACACGCAATAGACATGACATTCATTCATCTATTCATTCGACAAAACACGCAACAAACAAAAATCACAAAAAACGAGTGTGGGCTGAAACCAAGCCAAGATTCTAAAAACAAAAATGGTGAATCGCCCTGAGCCGAGATCAAAATTTATATACAAAAGCAAAGAGGGGGAAAAAGACAAAGAAAACTGCAAATCCACGTCCATCAACCTCAGCTCCCTCTTCCTCTCTCTCTCTCTCTCTCCGATGCCGACAGTCCGTCGTCACGCACCAACCCACGAAGTCGTCACCCCGCTTAGTCCTCCCGCACCCGTTAGGTTCGCCCGCGTCCACAGTCCGTCGTGGCCCGCGTCAACCCCGCGCGTTTGGCACCAGCTCGTTGGGTCGCCCGACTCCCACTTCAACTCACCTCTTACTTCGCTCGTGAGCTGACCCTCATTGATCGCGCTACCCCGAGCTTCCAACAGCTGGTTAAGAGAGTTATCTAATTGCGCAACTTGTAGCGTGCATGCATGAGCGAAGAACACGGAATTGCAAGGACTTAGAAAGGAGATTAGGAGAGAGAGCGCCTGCGTTCTGCATGGCCAGATCGCGGCGTGGGGGTCGTAGCCACTNGCAAGGACTTAG